AGAGATATATGGACGTTATCTAATCGACTACCAAATTGATTGATCATTCAGATTGTATCCAGATTGGATCTCGTGTTGTTGCAAAATGGACAAGTAATCCAAGGGGTGGATATAAATACCTCAAGGCCTACCTTACAAGTATCAGTAGAAGGTACTGGAGAGTAGAACTGGAAGATGAGAATCATGCCAGTCCTCGTCATAAATACTTGTTAATGTACGAAGACTTACCGTTTGTCCTGGATATTCCTCCCAAGCACGAAGAGTTACAAGTAGGCACAAGGGTGTTAGGAGCATGGGGATATAGATATTTCACTGGTACCATCAAGACAGGAAAAGACAGATATAACAAATACCGAGTGAGAGCAGATGATGGTGATGAGAAAGACTTTACACTAGATGGAATACGTGTACTTAAAGCACCTACATTTTGTAACTAAACTTTGAATGGCCACTAAAATAAGTTCTTTTGCATAAACTACTTTTTTATATTTAAAAAAATATAAAAACTTCTAAGGTATGTTAAATCACCGGATTAAAATTTGATTTTAACAATAACTATTTAATTGACTTGATTCATGAGAAAAATAACATTCGTTTTTTTCATTTAAAGCTGTGTTTCTATGTAGTGATGCAGATAATGTTTTCCTAATTCAAAGGTAATAAAAAAATTCAATTGATCTTGGATTTTGAAAGGGGTTATGAGTCATTTCATTTTTAGCCCTTTTACTTTGCAAAACGTTACTTTTTGCAGGAATCTCTATGCAGGCCTAGCAATCCAGAAAAGTAAATGCAGAAACCGAAAGTTGTGTTTGCGAATCGCATTTTAGTCACAATAGCGCAATAAACGTAAAAAAAATTGAAACGGTAAGACGATTTTCTTCAAGTACACTTGTTTTGATTCCTCACCACCGTAAGGTAATTCTGTACGCCACGAAAATCAATCTTATTTGACCTGTTGTTGTATTGGATTTCATTCAAGAATGTACTTCCTGTTTAGTCTGCGTAGCGCCTAACCCCATGATTACTGAAGGCTGCTATGCAGCCTACTTACTGTTTGGCGTATTTGTCTTCTGCAAGTGAGAGCCTTCTTCAAATCACTTGATGATCCTCGTAACGCCATACAAGAAAGAAAACGTTGATCTTTAGCTGCGACGGCATCATATAAGGTATTTGCTTTTTGCTAAGCCAACAGTTAATACCATAAATCATTATCTGAGAATGATTTTTACTCAAACCTTGAATTAGTTAGTAGACTGATAGAGGTGAGTTGATCTTATTTCCATTTGTTTTCTTTTGTGTCTACTTGACTATTATACACTATCTAGAAACTGTTTCACGGTCTGAGGAAAATCACTCTAAGTTTGTGGAACCATACTAACCTATGGTAGAAAATATAAAAACTGGCTCAAACTAGCATCGGAATATGAAGCAACACGCACAGACTTTTTTTACTTCGACGAAGGACTAGCGTCCAAAACGTCAGTAAGTTTTTTCATCTTTTCACGGTGTATAATTTACCTTTTTATCATTACTGTTTCTGATTAGAAACACCGACGCATCTCACACTAGTTTTTAACTAGTTATCTCTACTTGTACACAGACTTGTTTTACTTCTCATTAAAGTGCTACTTGGACGAAAATCGCTCCAAAATTAAAACTCTTTCATTCGAGCTGGAACTTTGCTGAAATAATCTTGAATACATTAAGAACCACTCACTGAAATATCTTTCTGATATTCGAAAGGAAAGGGCCAAAATTTTACGATTTATTTTCGTCCGCCATTAATTTCTTGTTCTTGAACGTATGAGGTCATACATTCAACCCAAACCAAAACATTGGTGGCTAATGTATGTGCCATGTGCTCGTTTTTTGTTTTTTTTTCACAACTAGGTGATAAATGCGATACTAAGTCTGTTTTGCCCATGATATGTGACTCTAGTGAGAACCAGACTTAGAATTAGGTCTATAAAATGTCCAGTCTCCCTGACCATTTTGTGAGAATATGGTATCATTTCATTTACTGTGATGGTCATGCTTGCTCAAAAAAAGTAGCATCGCTATCATTAGGGTAACAAATATAATGTATATGACTGGATGATCATGCCAACGATGGTCGACGATAGAAATTACATATACGTATGAACTGCACCCAGCTTTTTACGGTATTTTATTCTTGCCATTATTTCCTGTATCTTTGGCAGTCATTTTGCCTCAAACTTCATCATCACATCTTCCTCTTCAAGTAATGTTAACAGAATCTAAAGGATATTGTTGTCTGCTAGGTGAGCATGGAAAACCTGGTGATTTTTTTTCTGACAGTTTTGTGTTTCTTCTACCAAACGAATAACTGCAAAGGTAAGGTCCACATTTCATCATTGACTCAAAACAAAACAAAACATGTTTGGCAATCAGTGTCCAGATTCTAAGTTAGAACTATTGAGGACGTAAAGAAACCCTTCATGGCAGTGAGCATCCTCAGTGCCTACGCCTCGTACTAACCACCTCTCATTCATAACTCATTGTAAAGCGCGTTTGTTCATATCCATATGGAAAAGAACGCTATTTATATCATAAATCAAAATGGAAACGAAATCCATGATTTTAGTACCAAGACTGATTGTTTTGACTGACTGATTGTTTTGACCTCATACCTTAAAAGTGCTTTCTTTTTGACTGATATTTCCTATGGAATATTTTCACAGATTTAACTTGCTCTAGACCCACACCACCCGATAATGCTTACATCTATACTGGCAAAAGGAAATTAAAAGAAAAATATGGATTGAACGAAGTGGTCATGTTTCGTTGTAAAATAGGAAACGGTGCTTCTTTCATGAAATGCATTACTAGTGGATGGAGTCAAATAACTAACCTACAATGTCTCCGTAAGTCTGTATTTATTTTTCAAAATTTCGTTTCAGTATTTGCCTTGTTATGCATGGAAATATTTGCTTCAAATAGACAAAGAGGAATATAAAAATTATTGGTGGTCCACTGTCTTCTTTTCGTGATTTCTCTCGATTCACGAAGAGATCGGGTACTGATGGACTTTATCTTGAAAGAGAAGCACACTCAGGCGGACTATTTTGGGGCTCTAAAGTTTAAACTCTGAATTTTGACTTCTGGTATCCGGAATCTACTTCCTTTTAGATACTTTATACGTTTATGTTGCTTTATGTGCTGAAACAACCTCTGGTCTGTTCCTATGAATGAACTCACATTATCGAATTGCAAGTAGCATGTTAAGATTCGGAGAGGAAGGAAGTCGCAGTTCTAATCCGGAGAAAAGGGCCTCGAAGCAAGGGAGAGATCCAACACTGAACTTTCAAAAACTTCAAAACGCCCCAAAGGTGTGAAGCAAGTGCAGATGGCATTGCCGCAACACTACACCACCCCTAGTTCCCTAAGACCTTGATGCATGTCATAACAATTCATTTCGTTTACTTTGTTTAGCTATTGAGTGCAGGGACCCTGGTAGACCTGTAAATGGTGCTAGATATCCCGACAGAAACAAATACGTGTTCAAAGACAGGATACGGTTCCAGTGTAAGACAAACTATACGCTGAGTGGGTTTCCTTACATTACCTGCCAACAAGATAAAAGATGGTCAGGAAATGTACCAAGATGCTTGGGTAACTGGGCTGAAAATATTACAGTTTTATTTACTCACATTTAAAGGGAACAGAAAATTGGTATAAACTAAAGCATCGAGAACATGCGTTGGCTGACGTCTTGAAACTGATAAACATAATTTATCAGTACGTTTTGCTGAACAGCAATCTGCAATGTGCAAAAATACAAATACACTCTACCTGAAACGCAAGTAGAGGAGCGTAGTACTATTATATTTCCTTGATGCAATATTATTATAAAAGGAACAAAAAAACTTTAGTTTTCATTTTTTTTTTTTTTTGTACAGTACTAATATAAAGCAAAGAATTTGTTTTTCTTGTGCAGCTTTGCTTTGAATAAACTAACACTCAACATGTGCATTACATAATTTTTGATAAATGACTATAATGGTACTCTCTTGTTGTTAACACACAGAGGCATGTTTGAGGCCGAATAAGTATCCTGTCAATGGAGGAATTCGAGGTTCATATATTAGTTACAGACACAAGTACAGCATCAGATACTACTGCAATAGAGGATATAATCTTGTTGGACGAGAATATGTAAGATGTCTGAATGGAACATGGGAGAACAAGCAACCAACGTGTAGACGTACGTAGTTTGAAATATGGAGAATCACAAAATTGTACAAAATTTATTGTTTTGTTGATTTTTTCAAGTTGTTTTACAAATAGATTGTAATAGTAATATTTGTATATGTCAATCTATGGATAAAATTTGGGCATTCAAAGCGACCTAAATATTAGTTTTATCGAACCCTGAAACAACCTCTGGGCTGATCTATGTCAGGACATGGCTAACTCATAGATTGAACCCTGAAACAACCTCTGGGCTGATCTAAGTCAGGGCACGGCTAACTCACAGATTGAACGCTGAAACAACCTCTGGGCTGATCTAA